GGGGGGGGGGGGGGGGGGGCCTCCCAGCCGAGTGCATTCGCCCCAGAGTGGGGCAGACTGGCAGGGGGGGGGGGGCTGCCAGCCGAGTGCATTCGCCCCAGAGTGGGGCAGGCTGGCGGGGGGTGGAGGCTCACCACAGCCCGCTGCGTTTCCTGGCCCTGCTCTTTCTGTTTTCTCACAGCCTCTTTAGGTTTCATTTCTCTGAGTTTCAGCTTCCTGACCCCTTGCAAGAAGAGCTGGCAGGCGCCCAGGACGGGGGTGGGGGGGGGGGGGAGCAGCAGCAGAGACATCAACAACCCTCCCCTCTGTGAACTCCCCCCGCCCACTGTGAATTCTCATCACTCACACGCATGCTCCCTGAGAACACATCTCCCCTCCATCCCCCCCCCCCACTGCTGTGCTGGGGCTGATCCTGGCTCTGTGGGGCCCTGCAGAGGGTTGTAGGGGTTGCGGGGGGATAGAAGCAGGGCTGCGTCTGCCCCTCATGCCTGGTCTCTGCAGGGTTCAGTCACTGGGGGGCCTGGCTGGTGGGAGGGAGCCGCGTTCCCCACAGGCCTGTTAGCCCTCCCAACCCCTCCCTGTTGTCAGCGCCCAGTGGTTATGTGCAGGGAGTGAATGAGCTCTCCCCTGAGATCTAGTGATGGGCTTGGGGAAAAGACTCCTGTGTTTACATGAGTACATAAAAGGTTGTTACAAGGAGGAGGGAGAAAAACATTTTTCTTACCTCTGAGGATAGGATAAGAAGCAATGGGCTTAAATTGCAGCAAGGGAGCAACTGTCAGGGTGGTTAAGCACTGGAATAAATTGCCCAGGGAGGTTGTGGAATCTCCATCACTGGAGATTTTTAAGAGCAGGTTGGACAAACACCTGTCAGGGATGGTGTAGATCAGTGGTCTCCAAAGTGGGGTGCTCAAGACCATCCATTGGGGGCCACAGCCAGAGGAGCGCCATGGGAGCAAACAGGGCAGCGCAATGCTCCTCGGGCTGCGCCACCCTGTTAGCTCTGGCAATGCCCTGCCGCGCCGTCCTGTTAGCTCCCGCGGCGCTCCTCCAGCCACGCCGCCCTGTTTGTTCCCGTAGCGCTCCTCCAGCCATGCTGCCCTGTTAGCGCCCACAGCGCTCCTCCGGCCGTGGCCCCCAATGGATGCATGTCCCGGGGGTGGGAGGTGAACCCACATGAAGGTCCCTCTGAGCTCTGGGTCTTTGTTGGCCAACCGTAAGTGGGGTGCAGTGGAGGGAGAGGGGAGCGATGTGCTAACGGGACATTCATTCCTCAGACTTTCCCACCACAATATGGGAAACTGAGGCAAAGGGCACTGCCCAGCGTGGTGTGGGGTCGCGTTGGCTGATGATCACACGTGTTTGAATGAGGTTGTGGTGTTTTTCCAAACTAATGCTGGGTTCCCTGTCCCCTTCAATAGCAGTTCTCTTTGGTTACACACAGACTCCGTGCCTATGAGTGGGGAAGTCTCTTGGAAACACCCGGGATGGTGTTAAGTTTTCCCAGGTTACTGGGTGGGGGCTCGAGCTGGTTGTTTGTGGCAGTGTTAAACGGGACCCCTAGATACTGAACCCAGCCCTTGGTGCTGCGACTCCCTCTGGCAGAAGGGTGAAGTTACATTGTGGTAGGCCACGCCTAGAGGCCCCACTCAGGTCAGGGTCTGTTGTATTAATTTGGATGGAATAGTTGGGCCAAAGGTGTTAACTACTCCTGAGGGAATTCTGCCCCCCAAAAATAAAAAGTCTGTGCACAGTATTTTAAAATTCAGCAAATGTTATTTGTCAATAAATAAATGCGGCCGATCTAGCATGGCAGTGGGGAGCACAGGCCACTGGCTGCACAGAAGTGGGAGATCACGCTGCAGCGCCCCCTGAACCCCCCAGGACAGGACTCGGCAGTGAGGTTGCTCCGGACCCTGATACAGCACAAGGGCTGGACCTCCCCAGAACACCCCAGTGCCCTGCCCCTCTGCACCAGACACACCAGGTGTGGGTAGGCAGGCTCTGCCCAGCGGGATCCAAGTGTGGAGGGGCTCAGTGTGGGGGGATCCAGCTGTGGGGTGAGAGGTTTCTGTGTGGGGCAGTCTGGGTGTGGGTGGCTCAGTGGGGGATCTGGATGCACAGGGGCTCATTGGTGGGTTCCAGGCGCGGGGGAAATGGGACTCTCCAGGGTGGTTGGGGCTCAGCAGAGGGGGCTGGGTATGGGAGGCCCAGCGGGGGAGGGGCGGAGGGGTTGGGTGCAGGGGAGCTGGGGCTCATTCGGGTGGTCCAGGTGCAGAGGAGGTGGGGCTCATTACCGGGCTCCTGCTGCCCTCCTGCCCCTGCTTCCCCTATCCTCTTCTCTTTCCCACTGCTCTATCCCCTCCCAACGCCCTCCTTCCCCACTGTCCCTTTCCCACACCACGCCACCTCGCCCCCCTTGCCCTGCCCCACTGTGGGCATTCAGTACTGTACAGAAAACAGGATGGCTCCCAGCACACAGAAAGGGAGCCCAAGTGGCACTAGGACCCAGGAAGAAGCATCCGGCTTCAAAGTCGGCAGAGCCCAGAGACAGCCTCTTTCAGACATGCAGCTCCGCGCTCGCTCACAGAAATGGGGGGTGGGAGGGAGCAGTGGCATGTAACCCCGTGTGCCCCCCACCTCACCTCTGTTTGGGGGAAAATCCTCCAAAATTTCACCCCTCCCCAGCAACCCCCCCCCTTTCTGCAGGGAAGCAAAGACATTTAGTGTATGGGGGGGCGGAGGCGGGGGAAGGGGATGGGGGCATATTTTCTGCACACACAGTGGTGCAGAATTCCCCCAGGAGCAGTAACATAACCCAGTCACTGTCCAACACTGACCAGCTGGAAACAAGGTCCAGGGGGTGGTATTCAGCGACCTCACACTGCTTAGTACCATGCTTCCAGCTCTGTAGGACAATGATGTTTACACAACAGCTGGACACGGCCCTGCTTTGAGGAGCTCAGGGTCTGAGTGGAGAGGAGACCAGGAGGAGATGGGTGGGCCAGAAGAGAGGAAACTCTGGGTATTGCAGATATCTGGAGGAAAACCAAGTCATTTCTGTTATCCAAAAGGCCAGGCCCATCCTGCCTCCCTCTGGGGGTCTCCGTCCTCTCCTCCACTGGGATCTGGGTGGTTCAGGACACAGGCAGAGGGGGCTGGATGGACGCCTCTACACGGAGCCAGGAATGGGACAGAGGAGACACACACAGAACTACATGCTCAGGAGAGTTTATTCTTGTCGTGGGCTGCAGCCACTGAGGGGAAGAGGGGGAAGGGGCAGGCATGTAACTAGAACAGAGACACTTGGGGGAAGAGAGTTTGCAGCTGGGGAAGTGCGATCTGGTCTCTCAGGGAGGGAGGGGACAGGCCCTCGATGCAGCAAAGGCATTGGAAAGTCTGGGCCGTTGTCTGATCACAGCCAAGGAGCCCAGTTCTTTTACATCCCAGGCGCTGAGCTCCCCCTTCAGGCGCAGGCGTGTGACTCCCCTCGCTAGGGTCGATACTTGCAAACGTAGCCGTTTTGCGTATGACAGACTTTATCATTCCAGTTCTTAAAATCTAGAAGGTAAAACAGAAATCACTGGGGCGGGGAAGGGCGAGTGGGGCCATTCCTGCCCTTACAGTGACACCCCCCCCCCCCCACCTGCACCCTGCTGAGAGAAGGCCCCAGCTCCTGGGCATGAGGCTGTGAGGAAGAGGAGGCTGGAGATGAAGCCCCATGTGCCTCAGACAGAGACAGGCTCCATCGCTCCCTGAGGGACGCTGTGTCAGCGTGACAGTGGGAGACCCTCTTCTATTGTGCTGGAATGTGTCTGATGAGAGCACGACGGGGCCTCTTGGTGCTAGGTGCTGTGCATGCACACACCGACAGACAGTCCCTGCCCCAGAGAGCGCACAGTCTAAATAGACAAGAGGTAGAAGGGGAAACTGAGGCCCACAGAGGGGAAGTGACTTGCCCAAGGTCACCAGCAGATCAGTGGCGGGGCTGGGAATAGAACACGCAGACTCGTGAGCATCGGAGGGTGGGCGGGGCCGTGTGACTAGCAGGGCCCATGAAGAATGAGTCACTCATGAATTAGCGAGTGAGCTTTCCCTGTTCAGCCAGCTCTCCGTCCTATTGTCAGTGAATGGGGTGAGACCTTCCGCCCTGCTCCACCCCGCATGCCACTCCAGCAACACGGACAGCCAGAAAATGGCTTACATGGCCAGCTGGGGGTTCCTCTTGCGTAGGGGAACCCAGAAGAGAGACAGCTGCCCTGCCCAGTCCTGGCCTCCCCAGCATAGGGGACAGGCTGGGATGTGGCTGAAGCCCCTGTGCTCTGGCCATCCAGGTTTTTACTGCCACTGTTAGAGCAGCCCTGAGGCTGCTCTAAATTGCCCTGGGGCCAAAATAGCCCCCGGCTGCCTCCAGAATCAGGGTGCCAAAGGCACCAACGGAAGAACCCGTACTCCGCCTGCATATCACCTAGTGGGCAATAGCCATGCTTGGGTCTTTCCCTTTAACTGATCGTCTGGGGCCAAATGTACAGTGTGGCCTGCCACTGACTGGAGCTGAGCCTCAAACTGGGACACATGGGGGAGGAATTTTTGGGTGAGATCAGGGGAGAGAGAGCGGTAGTGTGAGCTGCGGGAGAGAGGCAAGGTGACAGGACAGGAGGCCACCTCCGCAGAGAGAGCTGGGGTGTGTGGCCAGGGTCCTGACTTGCCTCCTTTGTTGGTGCATATGTGTTTGAGCATCTGCTTACCCTCGTAGCTCAGCAGCTCCACACAGTACTCGACACCATGATCATTGTTTGGTTCCCCGGTGTTCCAAGCTTTGTAGTAATACCGGGAGCCATCGGTCCACCTCCAGCGTCTGTACTGCAGAGACGAGGGAGAAAAGTCTTAGGGTCCCCAAAAGAAGAGACCTTGGTGACAAGGCACCAAAGAAACACCTAAACCCAATACAGAAGTGCCCCACTCAGGCAGTGGGAGAGTCGGGGAAGGGCTGTGGGGCAGTGGTGGGGAGAGGCCAGCTCAGGGGGACGGGACCTGGAGACGCTGATCTAATAGTAACACTTAGCTAGGTTTCAGAGTAGCAGCCGTGTTAGTCTGTATCCGCAAAAAGAACAGGAGTACTTGTGGCACCTTAGAGACTAACAAATTTATTAGAGCATAAGCTTTCGTGGACTTCATCCCACTTTTTCGGATTCATTCCCTAGAACTCGGACA